TTGGAATAAAGCAAAGGATAGGGATTTACATTTAAGATAAATTATTAGTTAATTATTTGGAAAAATGTTCGATGAGGGAAACGTACAACTTTATACTCTTCATCTGTCATGTTAAGAGTGATTATCTACATAAAAAAATCTGGTCCTGTCTCTCATCTCTAAAGCCAGCTGCTAAGGAAAAATGTGGGCTGGTCTGATATTTGAGTGAAAGTTACGTTACGTATAGTAGTGGCAAAGTTCTACGTTGGGGTTGTCACGTCGCTGGATGGTTAACTGTTGGTTCCAACCATTGAATAAAAACACTATAAGAAGCCTAACGCTTATGGAAGAAAGCGCGACAAATCTCACAAATCCCCTTGCACCCGCATTGGTTGTGACCACCGAACTCTCTTTGCGGTAAATAGGAGGAAAGCAAACTCTCATTCTTCTCAGTTCAAGAATCGACTCTATTGACAGTGTTCCCATTATATTCTCAGTTCAAACTCTGTCGCGCTTTATTTCCACGGGGTTAGGCTTCTTATAGTGTTTTTATTCAATGGTTCCAACCAAATGTCAAGTATTCTCGACAGTCGTGAATCAAAACGGCATCTTCTGTAAGCATTCAGCTTGCTATCTACGGTAAAGCTCTTCAGAATCCGATTCGAAATTCATGAAACTGAAGTGTGCGTCTATATATTATAATTATGTTCAATTACCCAAATCAATTTTAATTACACGATTGCAGATTGTGCAAATATGAAATTTCAAACGTGAATTCAATTATTTTCCATTTGCATAAATCCTATTTTTCAGGTTTACATAATATCCACCCGAAGGTGTAATTGCTGCACTTTGATAACCTGTGTGTGTTCATTTTCTAGTCAAAGCAACAAATTCATATTATCGACCCGCACTTAAAACCTACTCGCATTATGTACTTTATACAAACAGAGCAAGTTGGAATGTAATTGAACCATATTTCATTATGTATTTGTATCGATCATACCATGAAAGTGGGAAATTCAACAAAACAAAGTACCTACCCATGCGTCACAGCCCTGCAGCTGACACAAAAGTTAGATACATCTCACAAATTTCACAATCTCTACGTGATTCAAACTCAAATTTACTTTTGCCCATTATTTACTTTGACGTGTTCATTTATTTGGATTCCGACTTATTTTTATTGCGTTGTCTTACACGAAATGCGACTAAATCGATTTCCACCCCCTGTCGTAATTTACCCTTTGATGCGATTGAATGGATACACAGAATTTTAAATCAGAAAAATGAGTAATGGGTATAAAAGCCTTTCATACTAATTACATATTATCTAACTATTAATCTGCGGAGGAATATTATTATATATTAACAGAACCAAAAACTTACAAAGTTGCTGTAGTTTCATTTGCCCTCGGAAAAATTTTATCGGAAAATTATAGCTTTAATTGAGATATTTGACCTGCTTTCACCATTGATTTAGATTTCTTTAAAAACTATTACAGAACCAAGAAAAACCGCAAATTCAAAACAGTGATAACATAGCGTTATCCTCGGCGTTATCATGGGATTCATTCCCACTTTCGCTTTAAAGATGCAAATTTTCTTACTTTAATAAAACACTTGCCGCATCCCTTAAATAAAATGTTATCAACTATTTTCTTATCGAACCCCATTTACTTTAAACACAGATGCCTCTTTTACACGAAAATAAAACCTAACAAATAATTTTCATGAAACCCTCATTTTCATGCCTATTATGTCAGAAAATGCTTCTCCCTTTGTTTCCGCCCTTTTTGGATAATACGATCCTGCAATACAGTTCGCACTTGGCCAATGCCATTGTGATTTCGGCTTGTTGAGGGTCTCTCTGAACGTGGTTCTCTGTCCACATGATGTGAGGCCATCTTTGAAGCGGTTGTACCACTTCTCTAGCCCTGAAGTACTTTTAAGGCATCGTCTCCAAAAGTTTGTTGAATCGTGCGAATGGTTTTTATTTGGGTATCGCCAAGATTGAAGCAATATCGCTGCTCCAGTTTTTTTTGTCATTTTACGAAAACTGAAATCAGACTTCTCTCCACACATCTACACACGTAGGCCGACCGCCGACTGCCAGCAACTGTCGCTATTTGCGGGCGGGAAAAAATTCACGGTTACGCACGAATGTCCCCTCCGCATCTCCACCAAAGTAAGTCTCCCGCGCTCCATTCGTTATTGAAAATTTAGGAGGATCGGTCCTTGATATTATATCACCTGCATGATCCGGTGACATATTCCTCAGCAAAATGGCCGCTTGTTATCAGTACATGGGGAAGTAAGCCAAGGGCATCGGCACCCGCAGGTATAGGTGAAATTAACACAAAGTGACAAAACTTGTCCGTAAGTCGAGCAAGAATTAGTACGTAACGTAAAACGTATCCGAGACTTAAACTTGAACCTGAAATTGAACTTAAACCCTAAAAGAAATCAAAAGTAACCCCTCTTCTTTGTTGACATAAAATTTACCTACCTATTATCTAAGAGGTTAATTGTACCGCAGATTTTGAAGGTGAACCAGGCGTACCTTTAAACGTTTATATATAAAAAGCTCACTCTCCATTAATCATCTGCCACGAAACTAAACATCGATAAATATAACGTGCGACAACCTTACAGCCCAATTATTTACTAAGCTGTGTCGGTTTAAAAAATACGATTTATCATCACAAGATTTGTTCACAATTTATACTTGTAGTTCTTTACTTGGTAACGCTACTAAGAAGCCAACAGTCCGTATAGTTATTTATTATATAAAGATACATAAAAACTGTTTTATCCAAATGCAAGTTCTGTGATACAGTGGCAACTTATGTAAAATAAACAAAATATAAAACAGTTCCAAACGGTTTATTTCGAAGTGAGAGGGCAGCAGCATTAAATTACGTAAAAGTTTCGAGAGTTGGGTTGTATATGTATGTAGCAGAAGGAAACCTCATTGTTGAAGTTTGTTCTGTAGCGTCTAATTCTAAATAAACTTCTCCTTTACTTACACAATAAAGTTACTTTTAGAACAAATGTTTCCAACCTATTCTCTGAAAAAAGGTAATACCGCCATAAAAATTCACTCTCCCACATTTCAAACGAAATATTTACGATAATTACTTTATCTGCTGGAAAAAAGTCTGTTTCCTGTCTACAGAAAGACACAAAACTAAAATAAAAACAAGTACTTCAGTAATTTATAACTGTGCGATTTATAAACAAATTGAAGTAAAATTGATGTTCCGAGTTGTTGTAGTACAAATTGAATGGATTCGGTGAATCAATTAAGTAGGATATATTCACCAATGACAAGAAAATTCGATACTAATTGCTCATTACACGCAAAATGGCAATTTACGCTAACACAACACGTACACCACATTCAAATTTCCACATCCGCTATTATCGTGTTCAACAACCGCTTATAATTCTAAATTCACCAACTGAGATGATGCCATATTTAACAAAATGTGTAGTTGTGTACATTTCTGTGGGGTTAAATAATTTATAACTTGCCAACGGGTAGATTACTTCTACTTTAACATGATTGGTGTATTAACTGGATGATGTAGTTCATCCTTATTCTTTGGAGAAACTCGCGCATAACATGTTGTCAGTTGGAAATCGGGCACTAATGCGAGAATAAGTGCAAACTCAACGAGCAGTATTTTGTTCGAGTCATTTTGGGCCTGTAGAGTATTGAGGACGCGAATGCTTTCTTTAATTACTGATCGCGGATTACATTTTGCAAAATATAATTGAAGCATTTGCTGAAAGTCATGGAGTTTTTGATAGGCATGCAAACAGAAACGCTACTTTAGTGAAATTCACAATCTCAAGAGGAGTAAAAGGATTTTAAAAAGAGCCTTTTCTCTAGATGTACTCGAATTCCACTTTCACATCCCCAAAAACTGAGTTCAATCCTCCCCTGGTCTGCCTGTAAGTAGGAATGATGTACATAAGGGTGGCAAGTTGGAGGTTCAATCTGGAACAGACAGTGGGAGAAATCTTGGTGCATAAAATATAATTGGAGGCACATGGAGAAAATCAGTGGGTTATATGTTGTAAGATCTTGGATCCATCTTAAAGGCGGTAGTACTTTGGTGTGCGAAAACCGGGCCATCAAATCTGAAGTAATACTTCTTAGTGGGCGGTTGTCCCACACTACTCCTACTATAAACCCAAGCAGGGGTGTCCGTACGGATTTCCCAATTCCAATTAAAAAGATTTTTTCTGAAACTACTTTAGAAACAACTACTTTCGTCTGTAAGAATGGTGAGGAAAGTAAAAAACAATGGCTGCGTTAATCTTATAATGACATTTATAATTGACACATGCCCCTATCCAGATTGTTGTGTCAAACTTCATTTATTGCATACGATGATTTTTCATTTTGATTGTAGTTTCAGAATAAATTATGTATAAAACTTGGAAAGTAACTTAAAAAAACTCCGCTTTCTTATTTAGTTGTACAAATAACTATTACTCGTGGAGGTTGCGGCGGTGCCAAAGCCTTCCGTCTCCCTTATAGTGCATGGACCACGATACTGCTTCAAAATTTGACAGTCAGTTTCTACGCCTCTCTTTATTTTTCACTGTAGGTAGTATATAATTTGTTTCACTCACTTTAATTTGTCTGTGAACGATTCTTTGCCTTATTTCCGTTGGATGATTAGGTATACCCATTTAGTGACAAAATAAGCGGGGTAGATTGGAGTTGTCGATAATGGGTATCTAAAAAAATAGGTTTGCACTTTAGATAGAAGCGATTTACTACAAAATTGAGGTTAGGATTAAGTGATAATAAGCTAAATTGCGCATTAAATCAATAGTGTGAAACTGTCCTGCATATTGTCAATATATTATGTACACCCAATTTGGTTACAGTTGTGTAGATACCCGTAGCGAATCCACTTCTGGTGCTTACGTTTACAATTTATACTGCGTGCTTTATACAACATAACCCACTTACTAATTTTGTTTTAATCTCCTTGTTACAGAACAATTAGAAGCATGGAGAATCTCACAACTTTAAAACCCTAGGTAAGCATCTTTCAAGTCATATTGTACAATATACCTACATGTAACAGGAGGCAGAAAATCGATAAATATTATTATAAATCATCTCAAGCGTAAACTTAAAGCTCTAAGCTTAAAAATACTCTTTTTAGCTTCCGTAAGATTGTTAGTTAATTAATATATAAAGCTTTCCTGAATCCTGTTACGTGCACCTTTAGAAAGTTCCATATAAATGAAACTTCCTTCATTACAATCTGTCTAAAACAATGACGTCATGCTATAGAGTGCATCAAATAGAACCTGAAAGCTCTATTGAAAAGTGTTGATGTTTAAATGGAACGCATTGAACAGTTCGAAATGAGCAACAAAATAATAGAAACTGTATCTGCATTGTAGTTAGACTTCGGTTTATGAAATTAATATGAAGGCTGTCGATTTCCGTTAGTTTACACTGCCATTTCATAGGTTTCACCTATTTCTTTCAGTTTATGGTTTTTATTTTACAGCGAACATTTACGAGAAAATTTTTAGCTTCCTAGCATGTGCTAGGTAGCTATTGCGATAGCCGTTTTTTGAACATTTCAAAATTTCATCAAATGTGGACGTTTTAGACCATTTTAAGCAACTTTTAAAGAATAAAAATTTTTTCCGTCTGTATGTACGTACGTACGTTTGTTGGCAATTTTCTGAGAAAACGGCTCGACGGATTTTGTTGAAATTTTGTATATATGTTTTGGGCATACCGAACAGAAAAATAACGGGCCGGATTTTTGAAAAAAAATTTTGGAGCGCCGTAACGGCATCGAACTTTTTTTTTCAAATAGCAACCTAAAATTTGATTCTATTATTTGGAAGACCTTATTTTCCTGTGTACAACCTACAAAAAATTGGGCCGGGTTATATTATCAAAAAACGGAGAAAAAAATTGTCAAAGTCAAAAAATTGTGTTGCATATGTGCAAAACGCAACGATCTTGTTTCTGAAGCAATTTAAACGAATTTTCTATGGTAAGTCCCTTTAATAAAAGCAAACAAAATTCATGCGCAAAAATCGTGTTGCGCATGCGCAGAAATGCAATTTTCTTATTTATGGAACAATTAAAACGAAATTTGGATGGTAGGTCCTCATAATAAAAGAAAACAAAATGCATGCGCAAAAAATCGAGTTGCGCATGTGCAACATCCAACTTTCTTATTTATGGAGCAATTTTAACGAAAATTGGATGGTAGGTCCCTCTAATAAAAGCAAACAAAATCGTGTTGCGCATGCGTATAAATGCAACTTTCTTATTTATGGAACTAGGTACAATGCGAAATTTCATCAAATGTTGACGTTTTAGATCATTTTAAGCAACTTTTAAAGAATAAATTTTTCCCGTCTGTAAGTGCGTACATATGTTGGCAATTTTTGGTTTCAGCTAGGAAGCTATTCTGTCAAGAATTTGACACCTGGTTTTTGTTCAAATCTGATTGCGGTTATTTCGCTGAAAAGTTTGTCAAGCTGCCAGATGATGGTTTTACGATCGGCTTGCAACCACAATTGAATATAGACAATAAGGTGGAAAATTCTTTTGATTTTACATTATAGGTTTCATAATGATAATGGATATTGTTTGCCGTAAACTGCGCAAGATTGTATGTTAGTTTGTTGTATTGCATTATTTTAGAACACTCAAGTATTATACTAAATTTGTCATTACACGACATTCAGTTAGGGTAGCCTTTCATTATCGCCATCCATGAAGTTCTAGAGATCTCCATAAATCGTAGAAAATGTACTAATAGCATTGACTAATACTAATATAATTAGTCAATGCTAATAGCCAACTTTGAAAATATGAGTAGTATGTATCCGTAAAAGTGAACTTTTTTAGAGAGAAAAGCCTCGAGAAAAGCAAAAGCTCCTCAATAGTTCTAAAAAATGTATATAAAAAAACATGAAATGCGAAATATCATAAACCGCTTTTAGATTTTAGGGTTTACCAAATGCATATTAAGCACATTTGCTACTGCGTATCGTATGAAATAGGAGAATATGCTATCTAATAACAAGATTGAAAAAGAATTCATATGTTTAGCTTAAAAACTAAGTTGTAACACTCGATTTTCCGTCGCCTGTCTGCCTGTCTGTCTGTCGTCTGTCTGTTCCATCAAGATCTCAGGCTCTCTACAGACTTTAGGTGACAGTCTATATTTGCCCGTTACTCATCATTTACAGTTGTCGTACGTGGTGACATCCACGGGTGGGTTTTGGAACATTTCTTCTTTGCGCGTTCTCTCCAGAAGTTACCTTAGTAACTATACTGCATTCATTGACCACAGTCCACGTATACGTCAATATTAAGATGCCAATTAATATCCAGCGACAATAGGTGAGTTCATGATTTTGGACTTTCTGTCCGTCCGTCCGTTTGCCTCTGTACATGATAACTCACGAACGCTTTCGAATTTTCCAACACTAGCAGGTAGGCAATGGTAAAGGGACTACCTGATTAAATTTTGGTAAATACTGGTCCATCTGATATGATCTTATCGCTCGTTATCTATATGAGTGCAGTTTATTACTACATCAAATAGTCTACCTGCATTAGATGGAGAGGTACTCCATCATGCTTTTTCATTTTCTTGTGCCATTCAAGATTTCTAGGGTAGGATCATGAAATTAATAAAAATGGCTAGAAGAAATGTTGTGAAAATCTTAATTAACCCTTCATTTCGTCGAAATCTGAGGTTATGCTGGTTTAAGTTGGTAAAACTGAACAATGTGATCGTTTAAGTGACAGCTGTAAAAGGTTATGTTAATTTCTTTCTCTACTAAATTGAAATATACTGGGTTAATGTAATAAACGTAGTATAATATAGGTATTAAGTCACTCGAAAGGGGAAGGGACATCTTTCGCATCTCCCATAGACTGCCGCTTTATTAGCGGCCGCTGATTAACCCTTGCGTGACCAAGACATAAAATTTTCCGCTGGTGCCAAAGCGGGGCAACGCTCCACTTAAAATTTAGAGTGTTTGCGATTTTATGACACGGACATTGTTGTATATAGTATTGTTTATAAGATAAAAGTACATTTACAAACTTAAAAACTGTACTATGACATTAAAAACAAGTATAAATTGTTAATAACTCTTGTGCGGAAAAAGCGAGTTTTTTAAACCAAAATAGCATGATCGTACCTGGTGGCTTAATAACGTCACGTAACATGTAATGAAACATGTAGTAGCTATAGTTTTTAGAACCCTTTAAAAGTAAAAAGTGCACCCAACATTTAAGACAAAGGACTACATGTATTTCTACATGTAGAAGCAGAACTCGGTCCAGAAATTGCGTGTTCTATTCAGACTCAGTGTACAAGAGGAGCCCGACCAGCCAGAATTTAGCCACAACAAATGCCCATCGAGCGTAACCCCCTTCCTTCGCAACTAGGTTCAGAACCCGTGCCTCTCAATAAAGGATTGGACCCTGTTTACACCATCCCCGGCTCCAGACAACTGTCGCCAAGGAGCTGATGTCTGTCTCTGATCAAGGTGTCACACTGACAGACCACATGTTCGGCAATAAAAGCAATAACTGTCATAAAAATTTTCTGTGGGTTACACATATATCACACCTGCACATGCGCGATTTTGTTCAAAAACCCAGTTCTTCCTTTTATGTACCAAATTTGATTCCAATCGGTTCAGTCGTTTAACCAAAAATAAGAGTACAGACAGACTGACATCATCAACAGTTTGTTTGATTCGAATTCCTGGATTCTTCAAAACGTGTGTTTCCGTAAACAAATATGTGTCATTTTTTACCCCAATGCAATACCTCCCTTACTAACATGCAAGTGGCAAAATGGAATGTATGTGCATTATGCCTGGCTCAACCATTCATCCCTTTGGTGAATGGTTGGACGTACGCCTGCAAAGGTCTCTGAAGTAGTAAAACACTTACCGAAATTACAAAGGAAACGGAAACAACCGGATTTTACCAGAAACGCGAAAAAAGGGATTTACAGGGAGCGGGTCTTTATCGATAATGGGATGCGGAAAAAATCGGGATTTGCCAAAGGCGATACGAAATTCGCCGGGACTCCTATAGTTTGTTATAATTAACCATTAAAATCACACAAATTCCTACAATCCTCTACTTATTAAATACACCAGTAATTTTCACCAAACGGAAATTATTAAAAAATATAAAGCAGTGCCATATATTTAGTGCGATGTACCACCCCGTTCCCTTATTCCAGTGATCAATTTCACGTATCCCATCAAATCGCGTCGATTGTATCGATTATCCTCTTCGAAATAGTCGCAATCAATTCAAATATGACGTAGGTCGCTTTATCGCTTTAAATAACAAATTTGACTCGGTAAACACGTTTAGTCTACCAAAACCAGACGACGAATAGCAATCTATTCTCCGTGAACTCATTTAAGCTACACTTTTGTGCCTAACACGCCTTATCCTACATTCCATTCTAAAAATACCATTGCTAACGATACAATATGAATTTGTATAATGTACCAAAGAAATTTCCTTTTCATTAGGAATAAAAGGAAATTAATTTAAATGGCCACAACGCGAGCTTGTTACACAACTCGTCCTGGAGAGTGACTTTATAGCTTTTTGGTCTAGTGTGACATTCCGGACCATCATCCCTTCTTGCGAGGAAAGAATTGGATCTAAGAGTTTCTTCCCAGATCCATCCGTGCCCAATCGCTCCAATACAAGCTCCAATCGTTTATGGGAGTCTTCCGCGCCTCAAAGGCTCTAGTCCCAGAAGTGCCTCCAAGGTCAAAGTTGGTGTGGTAGCCTTTTGGCTTGTTCGCTCATTGGGCCCTTTCCAGGTCAGCGTTTATGATGACTCTCAACATGGTCACACTCATTTGACGCCCTCAAAGAGTGAGCCCATCAACAGCCGCTCTCCTTCTATTGGTTAATGAAACGCCCTCGGTCTTTTCCTGGTTTTCGGAAAGGCCATGAATACTGCCCCAATCATCCACTTCTGCAAGAGCCCTCTTCATGAGCT